TAATCATGGAAAAGTTAATAAAATAAATTTTTAATGGGTTGTTTTTTAAGTCGTAATGACATTGGTTAAGTTCCTATGGTGATTTTCCAGCTTTTATTGGTGTAAGTAGACCTCAGGTAATCCTTTATGTTTTTGTTTTTTTTCCAAGAAGAATCACAAAGATTACATAAACAATCTACATAGGAACTTGTTTACAAAATTCAATGTCCCCGTCATCGTTAAGACACTTGTTTTGATTAAACTTTAATTTACAATGGTGTTACAGGGGATAAACTGTCAGCAATTTTTTGAGGTATAGCTTAAGCTTAATAAAAGTCTTTATATTTAATTGAATACTTACAGTCTTACTTGAGGTCATAAAAGAGCCAAGGTCAATTTGAAATTGATAAACATGAAGACTTTATCCTAAAGAATGTTCTGTGATAATATGAAGTCAATCCATTCAATAATAACAAAGTTACAGCCAGTAACAGTAAAAAAATGAAAATTTCAAAAATTTGACCTTCAAATTTTAGGTCATTTATGAATGAAAGTCAAGGTCTGTCTGGTTAACTTAAAGGGCTATCAAAAAAGATTATTAGGCTCAAGTTTGAAGACAATCCATTCAAAAATAACAAAGTTACAGCCAATAATAATAAGAACAAGCAAAATTTGGACATTTGACGTTGAAGGTCAAGGTCATTTATGGATGAAGGTCAAGGTTGGTTTGGTCTACTGTAAGGTCTTGTCCCAAGGGTTGTTGTGGCCAAGTATGAAGACAATACACCAAGAAATAAAAAAGTTATGATCCAGGTACAAGTTTGCGGACAGCAATGGCACCGCCAACGGCAACACCGCCAGGACTATCACAATACCTCTACTTTAAAAAAAAAAAAAAAAAAAAGTTGAGCTAAAAAAAACAGGGATTTCTCTATATTGTTTACTTGATTGATCTTAGGCATAATGTATGACAAACTTATGTCATATTTCTAGCATTTTTTCTTCCAATAAAAAGCTTTAATTCGAAAATTTCCGGCTATCTATTTCACACTGCACAATTATTCCTATGAAGACAATACACCAAGAACTTAAAAAGTTATAATCAAGGTACAAGTTTGCAAATGCCATGACTGTAACAATACCACTTTTTTTTTTTAAAAGTCAAGCTAAAACATGGTTGTCAGATATATTTTCAATCATAATGGTACCGAAATAGACTTTATTTTCCTTGGATGTCACATAAATTATATACATTTATATCACAGATTACATTCTCTGTTTCTGTTCAAAACGATTTTCAATGTGTATTAACTCTGCGGTTATTATGAATAATAGCATTTGGTTTTCTGAATCACTAATCAAGGGAGGTAATTATAAGCAAACAACATGTCTTCACCAACTTCCTCACTAAAACTGAGGACTGTAGGCCAAAAAGTTCTCTGGTTATTGATCTGACAATCTTTTTGCCATCAAGGTCACTGTGATCTCAAGATCTATACAGTTTATCTACAAGACCAACCTACAAAAATCTACAAGCCAAATCTAAGGACTGTAGGCCAAAGTGATCTCAAGAAATTGGTCAGACAGGTTTTTTGTGGTACATTGTCACGGATTTTCAACTTTTGTGGTCCATTGTCACGGATTTTCAACTAAATGTCACTGTGACCTTGAACATTGACCTACTGACCTCTAATCAATAGGGGCCACCTACAAGTCATGATGAACCTCCACACCAAGTCAAACAACTGTAGGGCAAAGCTTTCTCCAGTTTTAATATTGGTTGGGCAAGCTATTTTTGGTTAATGTCACATTTACCTTGACCTTTGACCAACAAACCTAAAAATCAATGGTAAGACAATGTCTGGTCTATCAACAAAAACATATAAAAGCAATCTTATCATAATAATGGAAAAATCAAGACATTTTTACTGGTTGCTTAAGTTTATTCATGCATTGTGCTTGTTTTGGAACTATTTATGCATTGTGCTTGTTTTGGTAATGTTTATGCATTGTATTTGTTTTGGAAATGTTTTTATGTTTTGCTTATTTTTGGAAATTTTTATGAGTTGTGATTGTTTTGAAATGTATACATGTTTTGCCTATTATGAAAATGCTCATAAATTGTGCTGGTTTTGGAACTGTTTACATGTTTTGCTTGTTTTGGAAATGTTTATGCTTTGTTTGCATGTCTTTTGCTTGTTCTTAAAACATCTTTGTCTCTGAAATGTTTACATTATATACATGTTTTAGAAATGTTTTATAGTACATGTGTATCTTAAAATAAAGGCATTACGTATGAATTCTCTCCCCAAACTAGTTCATTTCTTGGTAAAAGCTTTGGTCAATATAATAACTAAATATCTGTAAAAGTTCTCTCATGTCATTAAACATTGATTCTACAACTATTATTATTTTGTTAATTCAAGAAGAAAGACTGAATCATAATAGTTAGGTTCTACAAATGTAAGCAAAATCATGAATATATCAAATAACCACCTAGAAAAAAGAAATATCAATTAAAATTGTCTTACAGACATTCCTTATTATTTCTGTTTAAAACTAGAACTGCCACTATCATGGCGTGAATACCCCCGCATACCACTTTGTCAGAATCAACAGTGGCCATTTAGAGCTCAAGGACAACCTCCCTGCCAAATCTGAGGTTACTAAGCCAGTGCATTGCTAAGTTATGTATTCTACATGCTTCAAATGTGAAAATGTCAAAATCAATACATTGCGGACAGGACATTCTTTAGCAATTGAGAAGAAAAGCTTTTCTTTGTCAAGGTCCCTGTGACCTTGACCTTTGACCCAGTGACCTCAAAATCAATAGGGGTCACCTTATAGTCATGATCAACATCCATACCAAATATGAAGACTGTGGGTCAAAGGAATCTTAAGTTAATGGGTAGACAAACTTTTTGAAGTCAAAGTCCCTATGACCTTGACCTTTGATCCAGTGACCTCAAAATCAAAAGGGGTCATCTACTAATCATGATCAACATCCATTCCAAATATGAAGACTGTGGGTCAAAGGAATCTAAAGTTATTGGGCAGACAAAGTTTTTGAAATCAAAGTCCCTGTGACCTTGACCTTTGACCTGGTGACCTCAAAATCAAAAGGGGTCATCTACTAATCACGACTAACCTCCATGCCAAATATGACGACTGTAGGTCAAAGGAATCTAAAGTTATTGGGCGGACTAGCTTTTTGAAGTCAAGGCCCCTGTGACCTTGACCTTTGACCTGGTGACCTCAAAATCAATAGGGGTCATCTACTAATCACGACTAACCTCCATGCCAAATATGAAGACTGTAGGTCAAAGGAATCTTATGTTATTGGGCGGACAAGCTTTTTGAGGTCAAGGCCCCTGTGACCTTGACCTTTGACCTGGTGACCTCAAAATCAATAGGGGTCATCTACTAATCATGACTAACCTCCATGCCAAATATGAAGACTGTAGGTCAAAGGAATCTTAAGTTATTGGGCGGACAAGCTTTTTGAAGTCAAGGCCCCTGTGACCTTGACCTTTGACCTAGTGACCTCAAAATCAATAAGGGTCATCTACTAATCATGACTAACCTCCATGCCAAATATGAAGACTAAGGGTCAAAGGAATCTTATGTTATTGGGCGGACAAGCTTTTTGAAGTCAAGACCCCTGTGACCTTGACCTTTGACCTAGTGACCTCAAAATCAAAAGGGGTCATCTACTAATCATGACTAACCTCCATGCCAAATATGAAGACTAAGGGTCAAAGGAATCTTAAGTTATTGGGCGGACAAGCTTTTTGAGGTCAAGGCCCCTGTGACCTTGACCTTTGACCTAGTGACCTCAAAATCAATAGGGGTCATCTACTAATCATGACTAACCTCCATGTCAAATATGAAGACTAAGGGTCAAAGGAATCTTAAGTTATTGGGCGGACAAGCTTTTTGAAGTCAAGGCCCCTGTGACCTTGACCTTTGACCTAGTGACCTCAAAATCAATAGGGGTCATCTACTAATCATGACTAACCTCCATGCCAAATATGAAGACTAAGGGTCAAAGGAATCTTAAGTTATTGGGCGGACAAGCTTTTTGAAGTCAAGGCCCCTGTGACCTTGACCTTTGACCTAGTGACCTCAAAATCAATAGGGGTCATCTACTAATCATGACTAACCTCCATGCCAAATATGAAGACTAAGGGTCAAAGGAATCTTAAGTTATTGGGCGGACAAGAAAAAACCGACGGCCGGACGGACGGCCGGACGGACGGCCGGACGGACAAGCTGATTCCAGTATACCCCCCTTACAACTTTGTTGTGCGGGGGTATAATAAATAATTATATCCTGGACAATCCTGTTCTTCTACAAGTAAATGTCCCTGAACTGTTTCCCTGCTTGAATCAAAACTGATTAACCTTTGCCACCAGTAATGAGCCAGGTCAGCTTGCATATCCTTACAGTCTGAACAACCTCTATACTGGTAGCTGACCAACTTTATATTTTCATCTTGATTTCCCTTAAGTTGTTAATAAACAGTTCAAAAATGGAAGCTGGAAATATCCAGATAAGAAAATCAGAATGTGAAAAGTTAAATAATTCAATAAAATTATCATAAGGCATGAAGTATGACAAGTGTTAAGACACAGTGCCTTCAATTGTCACTTTGCCCACCAGACACTGAAAGACCACTCTTGAACCAAGCAAGTTAAAGTGACATTATGGTCATATTTTTGTTGTCAAATTGAGCTGAACAAGCTATATATTTCAAAAGATTGACTATTATAATGGGGATTGTATAAAAACTACCTTAAACATAAAAAGACTTTGCAATGAATGTTATTGATAACTTAATAAAGATATTTATAGAAATTCATGTTGGTCACTTGAACTATGGTTTATAATAATGAATTGAAAACAATTTGACAAAATTTGAACTTATTATGACTTTCTCCATAATGCTCACCATAAACACATGGTAGCAATACTGTCACTTTAAGTAAAGGTAAGTGGGTAATGGGGGGAAAATACTTACAAATTATCCGAGACCAACGTCTAATGTCATCATAACAACAAAACCAAGTATGGAGGCCCATGATGCCAGCTTTCCATTCCCACTGAAATAATACAAATATTATTATATTTACTTAACATTCTCACTGAAATAATACAAATATTATTATATTTACTTACCATTCCCACTGAAATAATACAAATATTATTATATTTACCATAGAAATAAAATGGTAACTTATTTAATTACAAAATTATGCATAATTTATAATACTTCTAGGGAGAAAACTATTCTTTTTTTCTAGACTGAACAAAATACTATATGTATATGCTTTTCCTTTCTGTCTTTAAACTAGTATTGAGTCCAGGTCTTCCAAACTAGTAATAAAGGTGTTTATTTCTTGTGTGACCTACATATGCTACAAACAATACATTCACCTCGGTACAGGTATGTATTTTAATAAAAAATAGCTAATAATAGTAATTATACTGTCTAGCAGAAAATGTATATGACCTAGAAAATCTACAAAAATAGTTCTTGATGTCATATAGCACATGAGACAAAATACTGCTATACATAATAAAGTGACAATAAAAATCAGCAAGACAGATTTCTAGGAATACAATAAAAAATATGATGTTAGTATGTATAAAACAACATGAAATGCTCCCATAGCAAATCTGCAAATCTTGTTAACAGATAGAAAAGACAAATTCTGAAATCTGAAATCCAGATTTTTTTTTTTAATTTGACAATATATACTGAATGTAATCCATTCTGAATGTACAATGTGTGTAATTGGCTGACTAGGTGTGATGTCACTCAGATAATATTATGGTCATATGGCAACTTTCCAACTTTAACTGGTGGAAAAAAAGCCCCTATGCCTAATGCCCTCTTCTACCTAGGCAGGGATAATGAAAGAAATGACTACAACATTATTTTCTTAACTAGCCATCTGTTTTAAAGGTCCATTATGCCCTAGAAATGCTTTTATCATTACTTATTCTTGGTGTTTTTAGTTTCCAAAAAGTTACTCATATGTATATTACTTTTACTATCTTTCAATTCTGTTGCTTTTTCGTCAATAAGTATTGTTATAGTGATTTGGAAATTTTGTATGAAAGTCAAAATACTACTTTATTTACATTTTGCTACTTAAATAATTTCACATTCAGTGCTACTTCCATCAGGTGATAAGCATCTAAAAAAAATTGTGTTTGCCCTTTCTGAAGAAAGACATATTTATTTGTTTCTGAGGTAAAATGTAAGAAAGCTAGTAAACTTTCTTCAAATGAAATTAAATCTCAGTCTGGCCTGTCATTGTAAAGTAAAACAAAAGTTTTCAAGTACAACTTAACTAAATTCAACTAAACTTAACTAAATTCAAATTAAAATATATAAAGCTTCAAACCAAATAAATGAGTACCCTTTGTAACAGGTACTCATACAAGTGAGTACTCATGAACTGTGACAAACTGTTGCAAAGAAAAAGCATGCACATACATCAAACCCAATGGGGAAATAACTCTGTATGACATTACATTAGTGAAACCTAGATTGCTATGTCAACAACAAAATTTCTCACTGGTCAATTATTTTACCTTTTAATCAGAATGGACTTGTCCTGTTTTAAATTTGGGAACATTCCATTATTAACTTAAAGGGGTTTTGAGAAATTGATGCAGTCAAATACACAGACTAGTCATACTATTTGTTTTTAACACTCTACACTTGTATCATAGGCTTGTAATCTTTGCAAAATATTTCATTATCGAAAGGGTTTGTATTTTGATAAATTTAATAATTAAACTATTTTGAGGAGAAAATGGTGTAAAAAAGGCTTAAACCATTGAAAATTGAAGAAAAAAATCAAAGAAAGGGAAGGGAGACAAATACAACAGACAGAACATTGATTTATACAACAAATTATTTCCCTTCTTCTCCATAAAAACAATATAAGATGTAAAAAATTTAATTATTCATTAAATTGAGTTTAAATTAAAAAGTGGATAAAATATTCAATTTTCCAATTAAGACGGTTCTACTTATATCATTTAGTTAACCAAATTTTCTAACATATTGTTTTGTTTTCATTTAAACAGTAAGACAGGGGAGCTAAATCAAGTCACTTCAGAAAAATTTCAGAAAAGTATAAGGAACAGCAATGCACATCTTTTTGATTTCTATTTCATTTTTAAAATAATATGTGTGCACATCAGTTAATTTTTTGTGTAAAATGATTTTTGATGATGAACTATTTTTTTATGAACTGACTTTGGGACTTTTGATCATATAAAAACTTACTTAATTCACTGAAGTAAATCGCAAATACACAAAGTTTTAATTTAGGGAGAAAATTAATGAACAAATAATTCCAAAATTAAAATATTTCTTTCTTCTTGGTAATATGTGCTGAAATAATTCCAGCAAAGATATTAAAAGTAGAATGATAGAATTAGAAAGAAGTCAGGTTTGTATTTTTCTTTTAAGGACTTTTGTTCCAAAGAAGCAGTAATTTGCATATACAATACAGCAGAAAATACATACCAAGTTTGAGCCTCTGGTATAATATCATCAACAACAACATAAATCATTGCCCCTGCAGCAAATGCTAAAGCATATGGAAGGATTGGTTCAGCTATCACAACTGCTAGTGCTCCAAACATACCAGCTATAGGCTCCACTATACCACTTAGTTGACCATACCTACATACAAAATATTACATTAATCATTCAAATATATTAATACATATATATGGCAACTAGTCAGGAAGTACTCTCTTAAGTACAAATTTGGCAACTTTTATTTTTTTTATTTTTTTTAAATTTTTGTTAAAATTCAATCAACCAATCCTAAGAATTGCAAAAATAAAGACATTTTCCCCCCTGATTTTTACCTTATAAATTCCTAAAATGTATGCTTGAAATTATACTCTTGCCTAGTAATGAATCACACACAAATGTCCTATAAAAATTTAGAATGCACTGATGAAACATGTAAAATAATTGTAAAGATAAATCAAACAACAAATAATATACTGTGTTCACTTTTTCTCAAACTGCCAGATCTTAAAATCACACACAAAGATTTTTCTCAATTAGACCGGACACATAGTATCATATATTTTCTAGTTAAACAATTTTCTGCCAGTGATTATCACATCATATTAAATGGCTCACTAGTCAAAAATTGGTTTATTATATGAATTGGCAAAGATTAAAAACACACACAAAAAGTAAAGCCTTATAAAACAAAACACAACCTTTCCTTGCTTTTATTGAAGCGTGGGAAAAAAGACGTAAACAAGATGACGTAAGGCGTTCAGCGACTATGCGAACGCTGCTCAAACAAAAGTAATTCAAGCTTATACACATCATTGTGGTGCATCTACTAACTATTAGAGTAAAGTAATGATAATTTAATCAAAGAACAAAACACAACACTTTTTTTCTTATTCGCAAATTGTAATTAACCGTCTATGATGTATGGTCATTGAATATGAGTCTCAATCTATTTTAAGATTGGGAAATCCAACTTACCAAGTGAATATGATACTTCGCCCTGAATATGATTTTACAAATAGTTCTTTGGCCAATGAGCTATATTTAGATCAAATAATAATTCCTATTCATCTAACTTATCTTTTGTTTCTTTTATCATTTATCTTTGAGAAAGATATGAGGAAAATATCAGTTTATGATAAAGTCTTACCAGAAACATTTTAGTGTAGACATTCCAGACCCTTTTAAAGGTAGACTGACAGCTAAACCTTCTGGAAAATTTTGAATACCAATACCTATAGCTAAATTTCTGAAAATAAATAAATATTCTTTAATTCACCAGAAAACGAAAAATAAAAAAAGGTTATTATGAAGATGCAAAAAATACTTACCTAAAAATTAAATATATTTATCATGCAACTGCTACGGTAACTGCCCGATAACACTTGCCCCTGATAATTTGATATCAGGTCAGTAACCCGATATCAAAAAAAAGCCCCGCCCATTTTAACGGACTTTTTTCAATTGCTTAATTATATTCTCATTTTTATCAGCATGTGAATTCTACAATGTCATCTCACACACTTACAAGTCTTGAATCAATTAAAGATGCGATATTTTTTTAGATTCTATTCATTATTTCGATTTCAATTACGAATAAAGTAGATAGCGAATAGTTTTAGCACCAACTAAATGAAGTGATGTCATAATTTATATTGCAAATGTCATCATCGATGTTCACGTCATACTATACAATCTCGTGTAATCATAACAAACAGGCTAGACGATTTTCTTTGAGAACTTGTGAATTACCCTATTTCGCCGAACTTAATGAAGTGACGTCATAATTTATATTGCAAATGACATCATGGATGTTCACGTCATACTATACATGTAATCATAACAAACAGGCTAGACGATTTTCTTTGAGAACTTGTGAATTACCCTATTTCGCCGGATTATTAAATAAGTGAACAAATTGTTTCGTTTAAAAAATAAGACGCAGGTTTGTGTTGCTTGTGTTTGATTGCCGATTTGACTTTTGTTTGATTGAAATTATTGTGAACTTTTTAATTTGACAATTCAACACAAAAGTGCAGTAAAGTTTATGTGATTCTAAGGGAATTTTTGGATCGATGTTTAAATTAAAGGTAAGAATTTTATCGTGTTAGACCTTCATTCTGTTGTATCTTTTATCCGAGTCGAAAGAAAAAATGGCTGCCATTTACAAATTCTAAGTTTCAGGGGCGGAGGAATTTGTTTTCAAGAATTATTTCTTTGAACAATATTCACCTTGTTTTATGAAATTCGCAATTTTAAAGAAGATTATTTTGTTATTTTGACAGTTTTTATGTGTTACATGATAAATAGAAAAACATGCTACTGTCCTTTGATATCAATTTTATCAGACTCGGCTGATATGGGCAGAAAGGGCTCGGCAAGCCTCGCCCTTTCCAGCCCATATCAGCCTTGCCTGATAAAATTGATATCAAAAGACAGTAGCATATTATTCTCTATTTATCATGCAACTGCTATGGTAACTGCCCGATAACACTTGCCTGATAATTATTTTTGATATCAGGTCAGTAACCTGATATCAAAAATAAGCCCCGCCCATTTTAACGGACTTTTTTCAATTGCTTATATTCTCATTTTTATCAGCATGTAAATTCTACAATGTAATCTCATACCCTTACAAGTCTTGAATCAAGATGCGATATTTATTATTTCGATTTCAAATACGAATAAAATAGATAGCGAATAGTTTTAGCACCAACTAAATAAAGTGACGTCATAATTTATATTGCAAATGACATCATCAATGTTCACGTCGTACTATACATGTAATCATAACAAACAGGCCAGACGATTTTCTTTGAGAACTTGTGAATGTTTACCGATTTCGCCGGATTATTTAATAAATAAACAAATTGTTTCCTTTAAAAAATAAGACGCATGTTTGTGTAGCTTGTGTTTGATTGCCGATTTGACTTTTGTTTGATTGAAATTATCGTGAACTTTTGAATTTGACAATTCAAGACAAAAAGTGCAGTAAAGTTTATAAATGTGATTCTAAGGGAATTTTTGGATCGATGTTTAAATTAAAGGTAAGAATTTTATCGTGTTAGACCAATATTCTGTTGTATCTTTTATCCGAGTCGAAAGAAAAAATGGCCGCCATTTACAAATTCTAAGTTTCAGGGGCGGAGGAATTTGTTTTCAAGAATTATTTCTTTGAACAATAATCCCCTTGTTTTACGAAATTCGCTATTTTAAGTAGATTATTTTGTTATTTTGACAGTTTTTATGTGTTACATGATAAATAGAAAAACATGCTACTGTCCTTTGATATCAATTTTATCAGACTCGGCTGATATGGGCAGAAAGGGCTCGGCAAGCCTCGCCCTTTCCAGCCCATATCAGCCTTGCCTGATAAAATTGATATCAAAAGACAGTAGCATGTTATTCTCTATTTATCATGCAACTGCTATGGTAACTGCCCGATAACACTTGCCTGATAATTATTTTTGATATCAGGTCAGTAAACATTGGTTTATGTAAAAGAAAAAACATTAAAACACAAGGCTATCTGATTTGTACGAGCGAGCATAGCCTCAGAGTATTAATCAGATTGCCAAGTTTTATGTTCTTTCCCTTTTTGTTTTATAGGCAAAAATAAAAACAGCTTCCTTGTCTTGACAATATGAAACTGTTTAAAATGTTGATATTGCTGGCTTGAGCTTTCCTTGGTACACTAACTTTTTCTTCAATTATACAAGGAGCTTTGTAGCTAGTCCAAGACTCAAGACATGTTTTTGTGTCAACGACAATACTTAAGCAAACTCATGTATGCCATTTTATTTTATTTTTAAATCCTCGATATTTCCTATTGTGTCCATTTAATAATATTTTTACCTCCCTTAGCAAGAGGCTTGGTGTCTCATGGTCTACCCCCATGAGAGGTTAGACAGACAGAAATGGTAGAAATACAGCCTTGAAATAAGTACATGTATAAATTACAAAAATATCTTACAAAATACCTTGCATTTTCAAATGTAGCTGCTGGTGATTTTCCTATAGCACCAAAACCAACACCTACTGCTAGACCCTCTAAAATAACATGAATAATTTTCAATATACTTCTAACATACTAGTATTAGTAAATATTTAAATGCACATATAAACACAAATCAAATATCCATGTACATTTCTATACAATATACAAAAGGGAAGGCAAAAAAGACATTTCAACATTATCAGGAACCTCTGTTGTTATCAAGGACCCTGTCCTGATAATACACAATATAATATACTGGATAAAACTAAGAACTAGAAAACGAGTCTATAAATTATTATAATCTTGACCTTCAGTGTGGCATTGACCTTTGAGCAGCTAACAAGGATTATGGTCTATCAGTTGTAAAATATGATCATCCAAAATGTATGTAAGACCTTCAAGTGGCATAACACAAATTATACTTAAGCTTCTAGTACATACATGTACTTAATAAAAACAGCCAGTAAGCAGTTTCACTTATTTTGAAAGCATTTTTCACATAACCTTAGTTTCTTCTATCTATGAATTAATATGTCAGGCTAGACAAAGGACAATTTTTCAACATAACAAGTGAAGCAGGCCTACTGCGCAAGCTGACTAAATTTCTCTGCTGAATACACAACCCTTAACAATAAGGCCAAAACAAGATTGCATTTGAGAAAAATGCTATGCCACCGCATTTATACAACACTAAATAGTAGTGTAGGAACAGATTTTTTTTCTATACAATTGAAGATTGTCATAATGCATAGATCCCTGACCTATCTAATTCTTATTATCAGATTAGTGGTTAAATCTATTGTTAATCCAATAAAAGATCAGAGTAGGAATATATCAATGCAGTTGAGTCTAGTGAATTTGGTGGTGAAGGTCATATTTCACACAGCCTAAATTTCATGACTACATCAAAGGAAATACAGTATGACACTTTGTCAAAATCTAGGTCAGCTGATATCAAAGTTCACTTTACATCTTAATCTGTGCACATGGTTCAAATTTCATAGCTGTACATCAAAGGACAAGAAAGTAGGTCACATCATCAAAATCTAGGTCACCTGATATCAAAGTTCAATTTTACAACTAAAACTGTGCACATGGTCAAACAAAATTTCATTGCTGTACATCAAAGGACAAGAAAGTAGGTCACTGTCCCCTTGGGCAAGGCAAAATTTTGACCCAAGGGTTTAATTCAAAATAATCTTGATACAGGTCCACCAAACAACATTTCAAGTCAAATATCTAAGCTGTAGCTTTCTCCCATTCAGAAAACGTGTTTTATTTTCTGTTTTTACTATGTGTACATAATGAGAATCACTGCCCTCGGGCAGGGCAAATTTTGACACCAGGGTAAAAATTTGAACAACTTTGGTAGAGGACCTATAGATGATATTATATAGCAAACATCAAAGCTCTATGCCTTGTACCTTCAGACAAAAATATTTTTTATGTTTTTACTTTATGTACATAATAAAAATCAATGACCCCCGGGGCGGAACCAATTTTGACCCTAGGGCTATAATTTGAACAATATTGGTTCACTTCGCAAAGTCTCATGCCATATATTTAACCTCTAAGAAGATTTTTCAAGTTTTTACTTTATACATATAAGGAAAACCTATGATCCCCAGGGCGGGGCTTATTTTGACACTAGAGGCAAAATTTGAACAACTTTGGTAGAGTACCTATAGATGATATTATTCAACAAATATTAAAGCTCTAAGCCTTGTACCTTCAGACAATAAGATTTTTTGATTTCTACTATATGTATATAATTGAAAATCAATAACCCTCAGGGCGGGGGCAATTTTGACCCCAGGGTTATAATTTGAACAATTTTGCTAGAGGTTCACTACACAATGTTTCATGCAAAATATCTAACCTCTAGCATTTGTCAATTGCTAGAAGAAGTTTTTACTATAAGTTTTTACTATATACATATAGTGAAAATCAATGACCCCCGGTGCGGGGTCGATTTTGACCCCAGGGCTATAATTTGAACAACCTTGGTAAGGGTCTACCAGACAATGCCTTATGCTAAATATATAAGCTCTAGGCCTTTTGGGTCTTTACAAGAAGGTATTTTAAGTTTTTACTATATGTACATATAGTGAAAATCAATGACCCCCAGGGCAGGGCCGATTTTGTCCCCAGGGCTATAATTTGAACATTTTGGTAGAGGTCTACCAGACAATGCCTTATGCAAAATATCTAAGCTCTAGGCCTTTTGGGTCTTTACAAGAAGATTTTTAAAATTTATTCTTTTAATTCCTTTTGGTTGCCATGGCAACCAGATTTCTGCATGAAATGAAATTCTTTGAACAACTTTGGAAGCCCTTCACCCAGGGATCAATCCTGCCAAGTTTGATTGAAATTGGACTAGTGGTTTTTCACAAGAAGATTTTTTAAGTTCACTATATAATCTATAGAACACACACACAAACACACAGGTGAATCGCTATATGCCACCGCATCGCAGATGCTGCGGTGGCATAAAAATCAGAACAAAAACAAGAGCACTGCATGTGGTATTAAAATAAACACTTTTGACAAAAATTAAAAAGGTTTCAGAACTATGCCCGCTGTCTAACAACTGCACCTTGTAAAGTTAAGTAAGTATTCCAATTTCCATGTTGATAACTTTTAAAATGTTTGAATAATGGGCTTCATTAAAGTTAATGCACAAAGGCCACGATAACAATGCAGTGATCATAATACAAGTAGCTTGACTTTTTCTTTGAAACAGACAAGCTAAAAACAAGATTTCATGGAGATGGAAAAAGTCAAGACAAAGATTTTACAATACGACTGTCTATATAATTATCATCATACCAGGTATATTGTGTATAGTGATAGCTATTATTAGTAACAATATTCTCTTCCAGCTTATATTTGTAGAGCTACCCTCCCCTGATCTTCCTATATCATCATTTGTTGTGCTTGGTATAATTGGATCACCTCCTCGTCTTCTGGGCTTTGCACCGGATGATTTGTTACTATAACCTGTAAAGGAATATAAAGATGTGACATTGGCCTCTGGTACAGAAAGGAATATCCAGCTTCGAGGAAACTGTTCAAGGCAGTCATGAGGGTATGACATATTTCTGAAAAACAGGTACCCGAGAGACAAATATTCCCCTCTGTGCCAGCAGCTAGAATTTCTTCTTGTGTACTGTATATCAATCAAATTCAGAAAGATGTCTAAATATTTCTATTAAGCGATTTTTTCTTAACATGTAACATGTGACTTATTTACTTCATTTGATTTGCATGATGTAATCCTACATATTGTTCAATGTTGGAAAGAAAAATACTTAGATAAGGAAAGTAAATTGATTTGGGTTTTTCTTTGCATATAGAGGATATGTCGTAAAATTAATAAAAAAGTTGGGGGAACAGATCAATGAATATATTAAAATTAAATGAAAATATAGGTGAACTGAATAGTTTGCTAAACTCCCCCTACAACCCTTAATGAATAGCTTCAGTTAAGGAGTTGTACATGTAATTTAGTCCCATCAGCACTAATAATATTACAGTAATTATCCAGTTTAACTGGTACAAGAAAACCTCCAGTGTGTCTTACTGCATTATCATTAGTACAAGATAGCAGCTGGGAAGAATGACCAACCTTCTCAAATCTGGAGATTATTCCCTCACATGTAACAACTACAAGCAACAAAACTGACTTACACGCCCAAAGAAGCGAAGAGCAAGAATTTTGAAATCGGTAACCTGAACCAATCAGCTACTGAGACCTTGTTAAATGAATAACTCACAAGAATGTTTTTAACAGTGTTTAATATAAACCTTAAGAGAAGTGACCTTGTGATTTAATGTTCACCTGTCAAACCAGGGATCATGGATTCAAGCCCTAAGGGGGTCACAATGTTTCCTCTTATAACACCAGTACTGGATATTTTACGGAAGTAGAATTTAGAGTGGTTCAAGAATCTTTTAAGAGACTAGAGTGTTTTATATAAACCTGGGAAGAGGTAGCCTTGAGATTAAGGTGTCCATCTCTCAACTCAGGCATCAAGGGTTAAAGTCCTATTGAGGTCAGAACCATGTTTCCTCATTTCATACCAGTACTGGTTAGTTCCATGATGTGAACTTGTCATTCAAATAAGCTTTAAACTTTCTTTACTATCAAGCTTAAATAAATGAGGTGCGTCATGACAAAACCAACATAATGGGTTTGCAACCAGCATGGATCCAGACCAGCCTGCGCATCCGCGCAGTCGGATCAGGATCCATGCTGTCCGCTGTCAGTTTCTCTACTTGTAATAGGGTTTGTAAGCGAACAGCATGGATCCTGATCAAACTGCACGGATGCGCAGGCTGGTCTGGATCCATGCTGGTCGCAAACTTATTATGTTGGTTTTGTCATGACGCGGCTCAAATAATGTTTAAACTTAACCTGATTACTTAGTAAAACTTCTTCATCCAACAGTTTACACTGTGTAATAATGAAATAAATGAGTGGATAATGAAATACCTAATCCATCATCATATGTTGGCATCTGAATACTAGAATCTGTAGATGGACCATCTTTATCTATTTTTGTATTTGTATCCAGCGTAAGTGCTAAACTTGTGGTACTATCAGCTCCCTGAAATCATTAAAATAATATCTGTATGCTTGATGGGTTAAAGATGTTTAGACAACTTAAACAGCTCAAAGAAACTAAATTAATGTGGGTGCACCATGCCAAACTGTTTTAATAAAGCTGTGCATGCACATGTTCGATAAGATGTTTACTTATAAACCGGACAAGAGCATTACAATATTAATTTATATACTGGTATGCTATTATCTTCTGTACAAAAGTTAATTTATCAATAAAAAGTAACCACCAACTTGTTCAAATGAATCAGTTAAAACTGATTTTAAAGTTGCCTTGTGTAAAACATGCTGACTTTAGACAAAACACATGTCCCATTTATATACAAAAGTCTTTAAAACTAATGTCAGTAAACCTACACTTCTAAATTAACCCTTGAATATACTATATGCAATAACAACAGATCAGAGACTCAGGAGTACCAGGACATGCCATGCACCGTTCTTGAACCAATCAGGCCATGCCCCTAACACACTTCAAGGTTTCTCATTTTAAGGCTGATTTCTTTTTGCTACTTTATATATTTGTATCTATCTTAACCTTTTACCCCATGAGCATATTGTGAAAAATGACCGTTTTTATTGAAAAGCCTCCTGTAACAAGTTCAAACTGCTATGTAACTATGAAAAATGCTTCAATACTGATGAAACTTGGCACAAATGTTGACTAGACCATAGCCTCTGTAACAGCATGCTGAATCCTAAATTTCCTGTTACCATGGCAACAGGGGGACGTCTCAAAATTGCTAAAAATCACTATTTTGCATTGTTTTTTCCCCATCAAAACTGATTTCAAAGTGCTGCAACTTTTCAATAATTTAAGATAGAGTAAAAGGCTTTTCAGCGTCGGTTACTACTTACCCTAAGATTGACCTGAGGCCATTTTTAGCCTGTCACATGTCCAAAATTTTCTTGGCGATGAGGGGGACTTTGCCCCCCTTCAAACCCCCCAAACAGAAGGGGGCACATCCCTCTTCTGGCAACCCCCTGATGTAACATTTGGATGAGGGACGGCGCCGAAAATGTGGTCACTTTTTTAACAACATTTCTCAAATGAAAAACAGTGTTTGGGGCCTAAATACGGCATTTTTTCACAGTTTGAGGCCTCAAAAGGGGGGGGCAAAAAGCCGTCAAAACACACTTATATAAGGGAAAAGGTTAATCTTTATTATTGCTTATATGTACAGTGTTTCAACATGTTTTTGTTTTCTATATCTTTTAATATTTAAAGCAGCATACCTCCCTCCAGATTCACGCAAATTTTTATGAAAATTTTAAAAATGTATTCATTGCAATCCACATAAATTGCCAAAAAGATATTGTTAATAATGTTCTTAAATTGTTATCAAAGAGCAATAAAATATTATTGAAATGTTATAAGCAAGGTTTTCTTTTTTCAAGTCTAGGACTAAAATTATTGTAACTGAAATGTTTGCATTTATTTCAGATTAATATTCTATACAGTGAGAAATCATCACTATTTATAGGTCGGACGAAATATACACTACATGCTGTACTTTAGTTAGTAACATTATACAGATTCCTCATACAGCTTCACTTGCTTCATATAATTAGATAAAAAGAAAATATAACTAGAATGTTCCAGCATTTTTTTCTTTACCAAATAAGGCATAAAGACATCAGCTCCATACACAAAAGCAGCCCCAAGGGTGAAACCTATAGCAACAGGTATAAATGCCCACTGTCCATCATCACCATAACTACCAGACCTCTCAGCCATTTCTATAGCAGGAGCTAACAGTGACCAGTATGAAGCTGCTGTCATTACCTGAAATATAGGTCAATCCTTAAAAAATAGATCACTACTTAAAATACAGGTTAACATTCGATAATAAATGTCAACCCTATTTAAACTAAATTAATTCCAATGTTGCAAACAATATTGTACATAAAATTAATATAAGTTTGATTACTTTATATAGTTATTGTTACATACTGCATGGAGCTAAATATAAGATTGAGAAGAGACTGTGACGTCACACAGTTAAAATCAGTATCAGAGGAATTGTGTTATCATATGTTGCGAGATTTTGCAAGATTTGATGCATCCTGGGTAAAAGTAGCCAAAATACCGCCATATTGAATTCTCGAAGGTACATTTACAAAAATGACTAAACATTTTTACTTATATAAGAAGCAATTGTTATTTATTCTAAAACGTACAAAACACACTTTTCCACACAAATATTTCTCCGATGAAAATCCATGTCGGCAATGCAAGCAATAATTCACGGATATTGCAGAAGTTTAACGATAGCGTGAAAATCGGAGACTAGTGGGAAAGCCTGATTATCACCGAAGCGCGCAAAGGATTGTGGGTCTGAATCGGACTCTCGTCTATTTTCGGAGTTTCCTATCCGTTGTTTACATATCTGTTCATACTGTTATACAAAATTATCATCAAAATTTGAATAATTTTGAATAATTTTTAAAATCTTACTGGAATAAAATTAGAGCCCTCATCAATAGAAACAATATCAATGTATTGTTGATATTTGTCTGCCGATCAATAATCGATACACATTTAAAAAAGTCGATAATTTTGACGAATTGATAATATTACATGTCTAGAAATTATGAAAATTCACCCAAACATGTACAGAAGAAGTTATCCATGTGTAACATTATGTTGTTTTTATATAGTGGAAAAATTTCACAGCAATGATGACAAAAAAATGGTCTTGAAAAATAATGCAATGGGCTTTTATAAACAAGACACTGAACAGAACATGTTTTTAACTGAAGTCATTTAAACAGGTATGATAGTGAATGATAGACAAATAATTATTGGTAATTATCGAAATATCGGTGTATCGTTGATATTTGTCATCTGATATTGAAATATCAATGATATGCTTTGCACTGAATCAACGACAGCTCTTATCAAGAGCCGGTTGAACCGGGTGATGCTCCCCGTATAGGTTTTGGACACAGGAAGGTATACCTCAAGATTGTAGTGTCAGAGTAAAAACAACCCAAATCGTCTCAATATGGTGATCATTTCTGTGAAATAGTTGAAAAATTCGACTTCAAATAACGAAGTTATGGGCCAGAAACGATTTTGCTGCAAGGTCATGCTGTGACCTTGAGCTTCAAGGTAGCGACCCAAATGTTGCACGCAACACATTGTCTCAATATGGTGATCATTTCTGTGAAATAGTTGTAAAATAGGACTTCAAATAACAAATTTATGGGCTGGACAAGATCTTGCTGCAAGGTCATGCTGTGACCTTGACCTTCAAGGTTGCGACCCAAATGATGCGTGCGTTACGGCGCCTCAATATGGTGATCATTTCTGTGAAATAGTTGTAAAATTTGACTTCAAATAACAAAGTTATGGGCCGGATACGATTTTGCTGCAAGGTCATGCTGTGACCTTGATCTTCAAGGTAGTGACCCAGATGTTGCACGCGACACTTCGTCTCAATATGGTGATCATTTCTGTGAAATAGTTGTAAAATTGTACTTCAAAAACGAAGTTATGAGCCGGACAGGATTTTGCTTCAAGGTCATGCTGTGACATTGACCTTCAAGGTAGCGACCCAAATGTTGGGCGTGACACGTTGTCTCAATATGGTGATCATTTCTGTGAATTAGTTGTAAAATCCGACTTCAAATAACGAAGTTATGGGCCGGACATGAATTCGGAACGTACGTACATATGTACGGACGGACAACCCGGCAACTATATGCTCCCCTGAAATTTTTCGGGGAGCATAATATAATCTATATGACTACTTTACTTACACCTGCAGCAAATCCTAGACTGCCATCAAGAATTCTTCTCTGAAATGAAACAGAAATTGACTTCTTCATCAATGTAAGCTTCAAAATCATGTTTGTGAATACATATCAATTAACCATAAGCAGTAACGGTAGAAGAGGATTTTATTTTTAAACAAGAACGTGTTTGTTAAACACAAATGCCCCCGGCTCAGATTTGTGTCAGTAACAATATTTAAAAAAAAAATAACCTTTAGGAAAATAGTAAAAAATAAATAAAGGCTGTATGAGCAAAAGTGTAAAAATCTATTTTTAGCACTGGTGACCTTGACCCAACTGACCCCTACCTCCATTCAAATGAGAATACCTCAATTTTATGTTAAGAAAAATCCAACTTGCCGTTCTAGGTTAACCTCGTACGGACAGACGGACGTACTTACGAAATAGTACTTAAGTGACTTTTCCTTTGATCTTTTTAGCCATTTTTAGTCACACAAGGCTTAAAAAAAGACACACAAGTAAAAACGGAAAGAATAGGATCAAAGAGAATTTACTGTTACCCATTGTTCGCCAAGTCACACAAGTACCTCTGGGTTCGTACGGACGGACGGACGGACAGACGGTTCAATTACTATATGCCCGGGGGCATAAAAACTTATTTATTTGCAAATACCGTCTCAGTTTGTTCACAAATAAAAAGGATACAAGTATCATTCTTTGAAAATGGCACCATGCTTGATATTGTCTGTCAAATTTAACTAAGCAACAACTTTTATTGTTTTATTGCCTACTTAGGAAAACTTATGGAACTTAAAATAGGCCTAAAGGTGTGAAACTTTACTTGGTTAAACATAAGATAGGCCTAAAGGTGTGAAACTACTCTTGAACTGCATTGAAATGAACCAAGTAGTTTTTTTTAGATTTTTGCCAAATAAAATTAAAACAAGAGCACCGCATGCAGTGTCAAAATGTAAACAACCATGACGATGCTGCAGCAATCATAATAGCTCCACTTTTCTCCAAAACAGACAAGCTATAAAGGTTCAAACTTTGAATCGATAGAGTCTGTAATTTTGTTGTCATTAGTGCCTCCGAAGGATTGAACCGTTGCCAGATTTTCATAATTATATACTTTTGATATGCAGTGACCTATCTCATTTATGGACCAATGAAAAAGACAAAGCTTTGCCGCCTTGGTACGCCACTTTCCAATGACATAACATTTACTATTTTCCCTTAAAAGGTAAGGGAGTAATGCTGATTTGAATCACAAATCTCTCTTCGATTGAAACTATTTTGAGATGCCCCCAGCTACTCTTTGGCTCATTTAAGTCTTATTTTTTACAAATGTAGATAAAATATCATAGCAGATTTAATGTTCTAGTATTAACAGTTAGTCTTAAACTTTAATCACTATTAAAGAATCAAGAACATTTTTTTCAATTCATCTTAAGTCTGCATATTTATATCAGTCAGGTTTAGAATGGTGACTGATAAGGACTACAATATCAGCTGTTCCTCTTCTACCACTACATTTGTATTAACCAGCAGTTCACATTTCGCCCATTCTCAATAAAATAAAGCATTTGAGGTTAAAAAATATTAAAAATTTGATGTTGTCATTGTGTCATTTTTTATTGCTGAAGTAAGAGTTTAGGGTATTTTGCAAGTTTGCCAGAAATATTTTCAACAAGAAACTATTATATAACGGGATGGCATTTATTTCGGTAATGACACTGTATTTCCTCGGTAACGTAGATTTCAGATCTAATAATGAAACATATTGGCTGCATATAAATAACTAATTACAGTCTGTAAAATATATCAAAATCTGTAAATTCTCTATCTAGAGGAACTTTCTAACCCAGGAAAATTCAAGGAAGTTGGGTACCTTGCTAATTTTCAGTTAATTTCTTTAAAGTTAAATATTCGTACAAAACAAAGAGTCAATTTTGGAAATGATTATTTTATGTCTTCATTCAAAGGATATATATCATATATAATATATGAGAAGTTGAATGCATACACAAATGATGTATTTAGCAATTTTTGTTCAAAACATTCAACTTTCCACTTTCTTCATATTTGGAAAATTTATTGCTGAGCAGTTCTATATTTATCCCCATATAGGATGTCATGTATGTTTCATTTTATTCAAATACAAGTAAAGGTTAAGAAAAGAATTTTTTTTTTTGTAAAGTAATTAATATTTATGGATATTATTTTAACATTATTATATATAGAATGAAATACGGCCAGTAAGCTCTTTGCAGCAACGAATTAGTTGTTGCTGAGAACTTCAATATCTTGTAATATATTTTTAACATTTCTGCTGGTACATCAACATATTATTAACATCTTTCCTTTGCAAAAACACTTTTGTATCTTCTTACATCTTATACAAGGTAACCTTTACTAACAGGCATGCTAATCCCAACTTTATCTTTAATTTTCAAAAATTGTTGAATTGTTAGTTGGAGTAACGTATGTTTCACACTGGCTTATTTATGAACTTTATCATGGTATTGAAACTTTAATACATATAAAATCGACATTTTTATTTAGGAATCAAATGTACATCATTCTTTTGTCATAAAAATGTGATTTTATGTTTTTATATGTGCATGTGTAAACAATATAAAGTCTGTTTGATAGAAGTAACGTTTGTTTCAATGTGGTTACTTCAACAATTTAAAACTCCACCAAAGTTAACAAAATTTACTTACTAATGTCAAATTGAAGTTAATGTTGCTGTTATACGAGCTTTCTGACTTCAATTTCCCTTTTGATAAACTTACTTTAAAAAGTTGGTAACGTATGTTTCTGTAACGTATGCTTCATTTTTACATTAAAAGTGGGTTGAAAAATGACGCAAGAGCGTATAACCCGCCGTAATTTGTGGTTAATATTATAAATATATCAGAGTTACACACATGTTAATTTTCTTTCTTGTTTGGAGTCTTCTATGAATGGATTAGCTCTTAAATGATGGTAACGTATGTTTCTTTTTAAAATGCTGTTGAAAAGATTTGAAATAAAAATGAAAATTTCCAAATATAGAATGATATTTGAGAGGCTGCAAGCTTATTTTTACTTATAATTATATATATGCTGTATTATTAAGCATGCATCAATTCAATTATGTAATTTCGGTTTCACTTCTAATTGTTTTAGGTTTGTCACTATTTATTTATAGGCATTTTGCGACATTTGATCATCCATTATATCAATGAGATTTTAACAGTCAAATATAATTTTTACCAATAATCAAAGTGCATATACACGCAGCAATGACTAATTGCACATGTTTCGTTTATTCTGGAACTTTTTTTTCTGAAACACAATTTCAAAGTTGAAAATTCTAGGTGGCGACAGTAACGTATGTTACATTTTAGGGCATTAATGGTACTTGTAAAAGAAAAATATCAGATAGAAATATAAAACTGAGTGAGTCCCTATTACTAGACAAAGTGGCAACCACCTTTCTATCAACATTTTGACCTCAAGAAAAACCTTCGTATCAAGAGCTACCCAGTGGAACATCAAATGCTGTGTTTTATTGAGAATGAGCGATTTAATTGTTTTACTTTTTAACAATTCTACTATTCAAATCCTTGAATGCCTGAAGATGCATGTGCTATACATTTATACTAAATGACAAAACACAGTTTATCACTGTAGATTATATCATGATACACGCAGATATATAATTGGGGTACTTTTATTGTACCATAAGACATTGTTTATCTTATACCCCACCCACTACATTCAACGTTGAAAATGCATATACATGATATTCGAAGTCGATACAAGTGTTTATGGAATGACAGTTATGTACCTGGCCAGAGTTAAAAACAAAGACTAATGCTGAGCCTAATGCAGTTAATCCCCATGTAAATAATGTTCCTAAAAACGTCTGAAACAGTGGATGAACGTCTGCAATCATTTTGCCGGAAGTGATGTGTTATCTCTAACCTGAAGAGTATTTTCTGCTTTGTTACAGCTGATTTCATATTAGTGTTCCTAATTTTCGAAGACTGAAAGTTGAAAAAGGACTAAGATAAAAAATTTAATTTACATTACAGTTACTCTGATGAAAATATAAAATTGAAAAAAACAAACATTTGAAATAATATGAAAAAGGCAAAGCCTCAAATCGAGCTTGGTTTTCTTTTACTGTGAAATAGTATAAAATAATGGTTCATTTTTATTTTACATTTTCCGTTTTTTAAATTGTCATTCGGTATTTTATACACTGCTTCCCTTTATTCTGGTTTCCTGTTGTATTATGGTTCCCATATAAGTGCGTAGGACACCAGTCTATGCTTCTGTTTTCAATCAGAATACCTCGGCTTTTATCCTTATCTTGTAATTCGAAAAGTTGACATGTTTCAATTCAGTACTTCGGACAAAAGTTTTCAAAACCATCACTATCTAGCAGGTACTCGCGTTACCGTAAAGCTCGTTTTACGAGCATGCCCTTCGGGCAAGCTCTTTGAGCTTGCTATAAAAGAAGAAAAATATTGATTAGCTAAAGGTCTCCAGCATACCCATTTTTTACACTATGACGGAATGGGTATGCTGAAGGAATGCTGAAGACCTTAAATGCCTTAACGGATGAAAGAAAAAAAGAAGCAGCATATTATTATAAAGTTTTGTAAGCCAAAACTATATATTGACAAAGTTTTTTTTGTTGTTTTTTTTTCAAAATGAGAATTGAAGATCCCAGATATTAATTTGATGTGCCATATAATATCTCAGAAATAGAGCATTATTTCAACTTTCAATGTTGACTGTCATATGTTAACAAATATTTCCATGATCATGTGTACCAAAAAGTGCTAAACCCTTTTACAGTAACTGTTATAAGGATTTTAGGATTTGGTACAACAAAACATTTCTTATATGATGAAATTCTAAATTCATTGTTGCAAAGGTGTAAAAATACTTAGAGCTAACTTGGTGTATACCAGTCCCAAACTGTGAGACTGTTATGATTTAAACATGCTTTATCTGTTCACCTGCGGCATTGTTGGCATTGCTGTCATTGTCATCTTGCAAAAAAACTTTAATGTAGCCTGTTATTCAAACAGTTCAAAAGTCATCACCATGAAACTTTGAATACTTGCTTATCTTGTTAGATAAGGGGTATAATTCTGAAAGTAACATTTTTGAAGTTATGCCCCTTTTAACTTAGAATTTTAATAGACAAGCAGTAACACAGCATGCAATGCTGAGTGCTCTTGTTTTATTTCAATAATGAAAGTGTCAAAGTGTGACAAAACTTTATTACGGAAGTTTTAGATAGAACATAAAAAATCATAAATTGACACTGTTGTAGACATTTATATCCTGGTAATATACACTGATAAATTCAGGTTTGGTATTCATTTTGTGATAATGTACAATGTAGGATTGCCACCTTTCTTTCTAATTAGGGTCTTTCACCCTGGTCTAAGTGATCCTACTGTAGGCTACATATTACTTTAAAATTTTCATCATTTTTTTTATGATTTTATAAGTCAAAAGTATATACCAGCAGGGTCTTTCAAACAGAACCTGATACCGGTGAATGTAGTAGATGATTGCCATATCAACAAATGTTGTTGCTGTAGCAACAAATATGCATACTTTAAAGCCAATATAATATTACAGTACAGGAAATACTTTAAAGACTTTTCACTAACCTTGAAAAAAGAAATGGTGACAATATCAAGAATAATGATTATGTATCTCTTTTTCTACAATGTATCTTTGCGTTGTATCTGGGAAGATGCCTACATTTGTAAAAATACAAAAATATATTTTTATTGCTGATCCATACTGTTATAATGATCACTGCTTTAATTGTAATTAAGGCCTTGTAATGATCAAGTATAATTTCATTAAAAAAAGAGATAAATAAAATATGCTTTCATAAACAGCTAGTTCTTCAGTACATATATTCAGGGTCTTTCAAATAAATTTCTATAATATAAGAGACACTAGACTATAAAATAATATGTCTCAGATAATTTTATGTACATACATATATTTTACAGAGTTGTAAATCTTTCATATTTTGGTGAAAAAAGGTTCAGGAATTTTTTGTCCATGTACAATTTCAATAAATTGTGTCAAAAAAGTTTTACATTTTAACATCTAAAATACCAGTATACAAATATTATATTTTAGTTCTTAACACGTGCACCCCACCCACGTTTGTACACAAATAGAACACTACAGAGATTTCAACTGTACATGCATTTGATGGGTTATCTCGGTACACTGAAAATACAACCAATCAGAGTTACTGTAACATTTCAGGTCAACTGGATCAAAACATGGACAGACATGGCTGAAATGAGTACGATAGTGGAAGGAAACGTTAAATATAGGGACGGAAAAAAGGTAATTTACTTTCTGGAACATGTATTCGTATTCAATATTTATGCAAGAACAGTCCTGATAATTTCTTTTGTTTATTTTAGTGGAAACCAAGATGGTGCGTTATGAAAAAACCGTCGCCAGTTGCGGGTGAGTGAATTTATAAAAGTTTTTAAAGTTTTTTATTTTGCCTGAAGATCAGATAAAAGTGTCCTGTGCCTTGTTTTGATTCAATATGGTTAATAAATTTATTGCCATCAATTGCTTTGATAATTACAGTAAGGTATACCATGTTGTGCCATGCCATTCTTCAAACATTTTGATTATTTCTTTATACTGTTTATTATTTTCCACTGAGGTCAGGGCACATGGGTCCTCACAATGCATAATATTTTGTTTAGTTCTGTAAGATCGAATATTTACAGTGGCAAAAGTTTTCGGCATGAAAATATTGTGTTACAAGTGAAATATATATCACTAAACAATTTTTATTATTCAATAACGTTCAAAAACATAAATTATACTATGAAAAGCGCGCAATAAAAAAAGGACCATACGACGTCAGCAAGTGTACTACTTGACGTGTCTCCTGAATACATGTTGTGCCTTATCATTCATTCTAACATTTTGAGTTTATTTCTTTCAGTATACTGTTTATTATTTCTCAACTGAGGCTCAGGGGCATTGGGTCACAATGACATGCCTTTCCTTCTCTATTTCTTTGCAAAATGATTATAATATTCTTTATTTTTATACATTGTCATTGCTAATTTCTTGAAATATCTATTAGTCTCTCCTAAACCATTATTTTCCTTTCATCTGTAATGCAGTGTAAATGTTGTTCATCAAAAAGTATCAGATATTTGACTAGTCCAACTAATTGTACTGCGCGACAAGATATTGTGCTTTTTTTGTGTCTGGGCAATATCTCGCCTTTAAAGCGAGATTCTGCCCCAGAACGAAAATATCTCAGAATCAAGCTTTGGCACGTCAATATATTTTGACTAATATTTGACTTTTAAATGTTGGAATATATAAGTTATAATGAATCAAAAGGATTAATTATAAGAAACAGTTTGAGCTAAACATTTTTATAACTTGATACCTGAAGATGAACTGTAAGTATTTCATGTCATTGTTGAAGGAGAAGAAATTGACATTTTCATGAAACTTAAATGTTTTGTAAATATTCATGATAAACAGATTTATACACTCCTGCAGTGTTCACAATTTGTTTCCTCAAACAATGAGAATTTGTTAAAGATAGCACTTTATTCAGTGACATGATTCATGACATACAAATTAGTATCTCTCAAAATAACATTGCTTCAAAATATTTTTTTTTAATTTAGAAATTGCAATGTCATAATTTAAACAAAAGCTGTATGGGAGAGCCAGCAAAAACCAGGATATATGTCAAAGATCCTGAAATTAATACGGATGTTGTGTTTTTAGTCTTGAATATTATCAAGTATTATTACCATCGTCATCTTGTATGTTTTTACAAATTCATATGACTTTAATCCAAATATAAGTTTGATGGACAGTAATATTTGTAAAAGAATAGTTAACTTTCAAACATTCAACAACTGAATGTTTATATGTAAAGTTTTGCACAGTATTGAGTTTGGAACAGTCTTTCATAATTTTTAGGTATTTTAGTAACAAAGTTCATGTACAAAAATTAAAGCTATGAATAAAGCACATCTGTGCAGTCTGACCAGATGCTATACTGGTAGCAAAAGCTAATTAATCATTTGATTCAAGCTGGATTAGAGTTAGTATAATAAAGTAAATAATTGTTTAAAGTACATTGCACATAAAAAAAAAAATTAATCTGGAAAGTAATTCAGTTTTCAGTCTGTTTGTCAGCAAAAGCTTTAAATGATTGTTGTATAGGTTAGAGAGAAAAGAAAATGTCAGATATCTAAAATTTGTTAAAATGTGATTATGTCAAAAAGTTATGATTTTGTTTCAAATGTTTCAATGTCGGAAATGCAAAATAATGAAAATATCTCAAGTATGGACATTGGTGTTAAGATTTCATCTTTCTTGTCAAAATTTGTAAAATATTGTGATTTAAATCATGTCAGATGTACATGGAATCTTTCTCATTTATGAAGTGTTATTTATGATATTTAATTGATTCTAATTTAGATATTCATCTATTTTCTGAATTAATGTATTAGTTACTAGTCTGCTGTTTAATTAGTATAGTTATGGCAGATTATTTATCAAGTTGTTACTTTAGGCATCTAAAAGATTTTTCTGAATGCTTAAAAATTACTGATATCATTATGTAATTAATAGTTTGAATCTTTCAGCATATATTGTTCATGATTCTTTTATTTCAATATTATGATGCCCCAGGCAAACTAACAGCATTTTTAACCTTGTTAAAAAAGGAATTTATAGAATCTAGTTTGGTAAAAGTGGTACAACGAGATTAAGAGATATTCATTTAACAAAGTGTTTAAAGAATCTATACTTAAAGGACTTCCTGCTTTACTGTAAATGCCCTAATCTAGATAGACAGAGGTAGAGGTGTTTTCATTTACACTGATCTCACTACTGTTTGGTAAAGCTTTTAGCTGTCACTATAGAGGTATCTGTATGATCTGGAATAATACATTATGTCAATAAAGGGTATTGTAAGGACACAGGATGTGGGCGCAGCCAGCTGATATTATCTGATCTTATTAGTGCTGATATAGCTTCTATCTATAGTATATCTGTAACCGCCAGACACTGAGACAGTCTGCTTAGTACTAAGTACCTATAGTGGTCCTTTCTCTTGATTTTTTCCATACATTTGTTAAAAGGTAATTAAATTTTGTTTTAATTTCTTAATTAATAAGAAATGAATATTATAGATAGTGTTTTTTATTTGTTGATATGTTGTTAAGATCATTCTTTGTTCTCTTGATTTTCATGGTACCTTTACAAAGTAAGTTCAATTTTTTTTCCATTCAAGAACGAATTTGTTTCTTAACTACTTAAGTCAAATGAGGACTGTTTCTGTTATATTTAATTGTATTTTTCTTGTGTGCAATATTCATTTTGATTAAATTGAAATTTATTACACTAATTTCAGTATTGGATTTTAAAAATTTTAAAAAAATTATGTCGTAAAACTTTTTGTAACAAATTTTAAAAAATTAAAAAATTTAAAGATCTCATTAAATTTTATAAACAAAAAAAAATAAACGAAAAAATTTTATAACAAAAAACTTTTGTTTTTTACTTTTCAGAAAACTTTATTTCTTGTTTTAGAATTTTTTCTATGGGGATAATTTTCCCTTTTCATTTTGTAAAAATTTTTTCTAAATAAATTTGTCCTTGAAATTGACAAGGCCAAAATATTTATTTGAAAATGAAAAAAATCAAGTATAATTTTTCATTAAAATGTTCATAAAAATTTTCTTCTTTCAAAAAACCCTTTGGGAAACTTTTCTGAAACCCCTTCCCTTTTCTTTAAAACCTTTTTGATGTAACCATTAAAATAATTTTTTTTAAAGAGCTGTTTTGTGCCCTTCATTTTTAAAATCAGAGAAACTTTTTTTGCCATAATGCGATTACTTCTTTACTAGCTCAGTTGCCATGGTAACCATTTTGAAAAATTGAGCAGTTGTGCTGCTCTTGTAAGAGGGCAATGTCTGTGTGGTACTGTTTGTTACACTCCCAAAAATTGAAAGGGTGAAATTATTTTTTAATTCGATTGCCAAAACCCCTTTGGTTCTATCTAAAAATTCTAGAATTAGATTATAGCTTCACGGAATTTTGAAACCCCGTTTGTTTAAAAAGTTTTTAAAAAGTGAAGTGTCTTGCCCTTTAAAATTCATTTCTATGTTTTAAAAATATAAATTCAAGGTTCTGGGAGGTCCCCTAAAACCTAGGGTGATGAAATTTAAAAAGTATAAAAATTTTAAAAATAAACCCGAAAAAAAAGCTTTGAACCTTTTTTCATAAGTTAAATAAAAACAATTTTTTTTTAAAAAATTTCAGTTTTTAGTTCCCCCTTTTGGCTATTTTTAAAGGCTTCACTGATTTTCCCTTGGGAAAAATAATTTTTCATAAAAAAAACTTTATAAAACCCAAGAAGGAAAAAAATAAAAGGGGCAGGGTTTTTTTATTTTTTTCTCTGCAGGGTTTTTTTTTTTAATGTGTGTTTATTTTTTTTAAATTCAGTTTTTTAAAAAAGGGGGATGCCCTTTTTTTGCATTAAATTCTCCTCTAAATTTTTAAAAAAATCAGTGATAGTAAAAGAATGCTTTTTGGGAAAAAGTCCTTACCCTGCCCGAAAATTTTTAAAAGTTTTTTTCCCTCACAATTGGGCTAAAAATTTTTTAAAAGTTTAAGAAAATTTTTTAAAATTGGGCTGAATAGTGATTCCAAAGATTTTGGAACTTCTGCCAGTTGATCTTGTCTGCTCTGGGTTTTATATTTGTAACCCTTTTTGAAAATCCCATTAATTTTTTTTAAGGGGTGTTCTGTAAAAATTTCACCCTTTAAAAAAATTTTTTTAAATTGGAAAAATTCGTTTCTGGGGAACCCCAAAAACCTCCCGTAAAATCAAAACCCCCCTGTTTTAATTAAAGAGTCTGTCCATCCCGGGCCGGTAAGTCGTCCACTATTCTCTGCTGAACTTCCCAATTTTTTTAAAACTTAAGGGGATTTTTTAAATAAAGTTGGGTATTGCTTCCCCTGCTGGAAAATTAATTTTTTTATTTAAACTTTCTTTTGGGTTTAATGATATGATACTTACTTAACAAAAATGAAAGCGTTCATTTTTTTTAAGGTTTAATTGATATGCCTTTTTTTGTTTATTTTTGTTTTTTTGTTTTAACTTTGTGCTAGATCTTGTTAGAATAAATTTTAAAAATAAAAGAGTATTCATAAATTTTTATTGGGTTCAAAATTTATCAAAAAAAATAAATTTAAATATTGATTAAAACAAAGTTTTGGTTTTCAAGTTCGGTACTTTACTTTGGGAAATAAAAAAAGTATTGGAAATATATTATCAACAAACCTAATTCCCTGGAAATTTTTTTGGAATAGGGCTTAAATTTTTCCCTTTTTTATTTTTATCATGTTTTTTTTGGTTAAAATTTCTAATTATGTGTTTTTTTAAACTTTTCAAATTTTATTGG